TGTTGTCAGGGCGACTTAGTAGAACGCACCTAGTCCGAAGTCGTCTGTCATAGTAGTTGTCATGATTCCCGTTTTCGGCAGAACGTTTGAGAGGGATTGACTTCACTTGTCTCTGACGAGTTCGTAGCTTGGTGCGGAGAATGGCTAAACTCACTGATGATGCCGGCGAAACGTTTGAGAATGTATCAAGTCCACTGTCAGATGCTGGGAATCATGACAACTACTACGGCAGACGACTTCGGACTCGGTGCGTTCTACATAGTCTCCCTTAACACAAGACCAAGTTGCGACAACGAGGTCAACCCACTTCTAGCAGACGACGTCGGACTAGGTGCGTTCTACATGGTCTCCCTGAAAACAAGACCAAGTTGCTACAACGAGGTCAACCCACTAGTCGCCCTGACAACAAGACCAAGTTGCGACAACGACTCTAGACGACTTCGGACTAGATGCGTTCTACTAAGTCGTCCTGACAACAAGACCAAGTTGCGACAACGAGGTCAGACGAATTCGGACTAGGTGCGTTCTACTAAGTCATCTTGACAACAAGACCAAGTTGCGACAACGAGATCAACCCAAAGACTAGGTGCGTTCTACTAAGTCGCCCTGACAACTAGACCAGGTTGCGACAACGAGGTCAGCCCATTTCTCCAATTTTACGCTTAGCCGCAAAAATACCATAATCAGCAAAACGAAAGGTTTTGTAGCATCCAATCTCATATGAAGTTTATGCCGTGTGCTCAGCACAAAAAGTTCATCAACATAACCAGACGTGGGTCTGAACTTGAGCAACCGGAGTGATGGTTAAAATATATTGAGAGAGAGTAATGGTCGTCATCAAACCTTGATGGCCGAGAACAGACAGTATTTTTTCTGTTCTAATTACTATGAACCATCACTGCTGGTTTCGAACATATACGAACAGATGAAGGCACATAAACACACACACACAAACATGCTTCGAGGTAGGCATTAACCTGAACTAACCAAATCACTTTATACGTCATCAAAGAGCTCAGATGTAGGGGGTATCTACAGCAATTAGGGATGAGCCGATGAGTTTTCTTGACTCGTTAGCTTCAATGTGGTTGCAAGGATGATTCTATATTCTGATGATGTCCTCATGACGGACGAATGCTTAGCAGGTTTTCACCGGAATCAAAGGACTGCCTCCGAGGCATCATCAACAGGAATTTTCCAGTAAAGCCAATCGTCTTCTGGTGGGATCGACTTTTAAGTCTCTTCTTAAAATGCTTTCATTAAAAATAAGAGTAAACCCAACTGTCATTCGCATAAAAAAGATACTGCCGTCCAAGCATACCTGGCGTTCTTTGGGAACCCGAATTCGCTCTCAGCCTCGGAGCCTTCGGATCCCTGGAACGCCATTCCGGGGGCCCCGATGACCCCGAGTCCAGAACTTGATTCTGTACTTTCAGAAGTTGCTCCTCCTGAGGACCCTGTAGATGGGATCGCAAACCATCGGACTCGCGGTCGTGGGTGGCCGGAGACGGAACAGCGGATTGAGGTACCCCGGCGGTCAAGGAAGTAAAGAGCCGGTGGAAGATCAGGCGCAAGCTTTGGTGGAGTGAAGGCTCGACCTTCAGAGTCCTGAAGCAGGCGTGGGTCACGCAGGCTAGAGTCGAGCTGATTTTCTTGGGCGAAAGATGAAGAAGAGCTGTGGGAATCGAGCGGTTCAAGCCCGATGTCGCCCAAAGATCTGGTCGGCCGACGTGGGCCCCGATCATATGGTCTACCATGTCCTGGCGAGGCGGAAGCAGGCTCATGTGGAACGAAACGAGGAGAGTTTGATAAAGATTGCTTGCTAGTGGTAGGGTACTCTATAGAAAAGGAAGCAGATAAGGAAAGTTATTATTATTCAGAGAGGTTACGACTAAACAAAGATCAAGATAAATCTAGAAAAACAGGCAACCTACAAGACATTTAAAAGTGTGCGACAAATGTACTAAGAAGTGGATAGCAGAAGCTAAAGGAAGATGGCAATGCAATTGCCTGGGAATTTCGTTTTAGAGGCTTTCGCAGTCCTAAGGCAGTCTTGAATTGTTGTTGGAATAACTTTAATTTAGTTTGAAGAGGCGAGTGGAAAGGATTCGTAGGTTGGTCTCACCGGAGGATGTAGGGGTATTGTCTCGGAGCTGTTATTGTAGATTTGTGCGAATATGTTCTCGGCGCACCGTTCTGCGCCCTGTTCATTCAAACAAAGCAGGTATATTCTGGGTAATACCAATTAGAGGATTGAAAATGTGTCTAGAATGATTGGCCTCACGTTTGGGTCAATTATCATATAGCATGATTTCCTGCTCTGAGGATGTGCGGCGCACCACGAAGAAAAGCTGAGCAAGGATTCACCGGGGTTGAGGGCGGTGTTTGATGACCTATTCGCATAAATTTACAGCAAAGATGCAAAAAAGTCCTTCTTCATCTTCCGGTGAAGCCGATTTACGAATGCCTTCCACTCGCCTCCTCAAACGAAAGGAAGGGTGTGCCAACATCTGCCATGCTATGAAGATGCCTCTTACATGACACCCGAATACTTGCTCAAACAAATTTCGGGCATCAAAGTTCCTTTCACACTCGAACGAGGCCGGTGTTATAATATGTTCCTCGGGGTGGTATAAGTTTCAAATTAAAAAATGTACCTTAGCCCATGTCTTCGAGCCAATAGGCCATGCTCAGTGATAGTTATGCAGGAAATACTTAACTGTAACCAGAAACAAGGGAGGATATCTCGTGGACGTAGTATTAAAGCCAAACGACTGCAAAACAACGGAAAATGGCCGTCGTCTTCCGGGGAGATTAATCGAGAAACCTCTTGATCACGAACTTTCATGCAAAATTAAAGCCTCCACAAGAAATTTTATGGCTAGCTTAGAAGGTTAGTGATTAACAGGGCTTCCAATAACCCCTTAAGCGAACTTTCGTTGAAAAGAAAAATCATCCTACGCTTACTCGACAATTAATGTAGTCAGGTAGATTTTACTACAAGTATTATATATCCGCATTCCATTAAATACAAATCAAAATGTGTAGGTAATTGTAAATAATTTCCCAATGAATGCCATTTCACTATCCACATAAACGTCACGTTTGAAAAGACGATCCTTCAAATATCGGACTAAAGAAAGTAAGGTAAGTTAACGGTTTCGGATAAACAAGAGCAAAACTGAAAGGATCGCAGTCTCACAATAAAATTTTAATATCAAAAAATCTGTTAGTAACGTCATCTAAACACACCAAAGTGGTCATGTATCTGGACAAAATAAATATCACTTCTTTGTAAGGAGATTCATGTGCACACGCACTAGTTAAAATCATAATCAAAAAGATAAATCAATTTACAATCCTCATCCTAGATCATAAAGTGGTTGGGGCCATGAAGAATGTGCTACTAAGAATAAGAGCATAACAGTTGATGACCAAAAGATAGTGACCTACAGAAAATTAGAGCATTGATTAGAGACGATCATATGAAAGACAATCACTGAAGGACCCGAAGTAAAAAACATTTGCAATCATGGGAAGGAATAAGTGTTAATTGAACTATGGCGGTGAGAACTTATAGAAGCCTGGAATGCTAGTTGACTTTTCGAGAAAATGC